CTACCAAAAAAATCTTAAATCCAATCCAAAAATATCACAATATTTGAAATTATACAAAATTCACGTCTATGAGAATTTAGACATTGTGAACTTAAATTTTAATTTACTTTTTGAAATTTAGATATTGCAATTTAAAAAAAAAGTTTGGAGTTCGAAGGAAATCAAGAGAATCGAAAATAGAAATGCAAATTTGAAGAGAAACAAAAAATGAGATAAAAGTGAGTGGTTGTGGCATTAAACAAATTGGGTTAAAGAAAAATAATTCTTTTTTAACTTTTTTTAATTTAATGGACAAAGATAAAATTAAAAGATGGAAGAAAACATCAATAAATTAAAAATAAAGAGGTTTGATTAAAAAATGAGTGGCAAAAGAAAAGATGAGAGAGAGGGAGAGAGAGAGAGAAAGAGTTGAAAATTAAAAAAAAAGAGCCATGAGAGAATGAGATTTTATAAGGAAAATGAAACAAAAGAAATATGAGTGTTTGTTTTATATAAATAAGTTATCAAAAAAAACTAATAAGATATGATGGTGCAACGGTTATTACATTGGTCTTCTATTACAAAGGTCTTGAGTTCAAATCTTGATAACTACATTTTGCAAAAAAAAAAAAAACTTGAAACCGGAAATGACTGGTTCAAATCCGGTTCGGCGGTTTTCGTGGTCTGACCGGTTTTTGACCGGTTTCTTGGCAAAGTCAAACCTAGCATTGAACCGGACCGGTGCCATGGCCGGTTCGCGGTTCAACTGGTCGAACCGGCCGGTCCGATCCGGTTTTCAAAACACTGCTCTTCAGGACCACATGCTGCTGATCATGAACTAAACCATCCAAGTACAAAGTCACAAGGCCTTTGGTCCAGTGGTCATCCCAAACCCTATGTTTTCATAACCGGACCGGCCGGATAGCGACTCGGTCGAGGTCAGGGGTCAGGGGTCAATGAATTCGACCGGGAGTCGAACCGGATGAAGTCATAAATAAAAATTATTTAAAAATTAAAATATTATATATATTATATATATAATATCTAATAATATATTGATATTAATAAAGGTATATTCATATATATTTGATGTTTCAAATATATTTAACAAGAAATACAAAGAAATTAGAACAATCAAGTAGCAATTTATATTATTTAATAAATATTAACAAGTTCAGAATTAAAATTATGAATTTAATTGAAAAATAACATCAAATTTTAGGACAATATTTATAAAGTATCAAATATTTGAGGTATATCAATAAGTTTTAACAATTTAGGGGGTCAAAACATAATATTAAAAAGTTTGAATTTTTTTTAAAAAAATTACTATCGAATCGGAAAAACCGGTTTTTTCCCGGTCAAACCCGATTTTTGACCGGATTTTAAATTTCCGATTTTTTAATATGACTCGGACTGGCTACCTGGCCGGTTCCCGGTTCGACCGGCCGGTCTGGTCCGAGTTTTAAAACAGAGCCCAAACCTTCTAAGGTTTGGTGATGCAAAGAGGTCATGGGTTCGAACCCTGTCTACCACAAAAATTTGCCACATTCTGTGGCGGTTTTAATTGACTTCCATCGATGGAGTCTGTACTCACATCGAATCCCCTTCCTCTCCCCCTAGATTAGGTTATAGAAATTCTATCGTTGCGACAAAAAAAAAAAAAAAAGAGTACAAAGTCACAAGACTTCACTCAAAAAACAGACCTGTGGATTTTAGTATCTGCACACTTGATCAATTACTCAGTGGTCAGTAATATGTTAGAAGTGCAGATTTTGGTAGTTTTAGTCTCCCTTGCCTGCATTTCCTGTCTCAGGATTTCCCGAAACATTTCCGAAGATAGTTTAGGTCCCTCCAAATTCTCAATAGCTTAGTTTGGGACCATTTGTAAAATGTCGTACTCAAAAAGTCTCCCTTGCCTTAATTTACATTTTGTTGTCCGGGTTCAGCTCGGATAATTTTGTCGGTAATCATCACTGGTACGGTCTTCAAAAAACTGAACCTGTGATCATATTCTTTTCCTTTTTTTTTCTTTTGACTTGGCAGTCTAATTTTGGAATGGAGTTCATGCAAACCCATGTATCTCTTTTTTTTTTTTGGGTTATATTAGTACTTGACTTTGCAGTGTATTACTTTTATTATTATTTTTGTTACTGTTATTATTAATATTTACGGTGAATCATTAGAAGTTCTAGCCCTAGTTTAATACTTCTAAAGTCTTCTTCTAAAGTCATCTGATTATTCCGCCTGTCGGTTTTACTGGTAAAGAATGATTAGAGTATTAGCTACAAGTACATTTTAGTGAATTACCCCAGTTACATTTTCCATCACTCAGTAAAATTTTCCTGTACAATAAAATAAATGCATCTTCATCCTAAATATCAATGGATATGGAGCTCCGTATGAAATTGTGTGGAAATGCAAATACTACAAAATCTAACTGAAATTGTCTGATAAGAATTTCCTTCCACCAGTAAATCAAAAAAGATTCCATGTCAACATTCAACTTGGTTGGCCATCTCCGTGTGGAAAAAGAACGAAGAAAAGAGAAGAATAGAATTGGGCCAGGGACAGGAACGGTTACAGCAACCGTTCCTAAAGGTTAAGTGTATTTTGCACACGGTGTAATTTTATTTGTACATGATGTAAGTTACTTTCAACAATGTATAATTTTAGAACAAAATTTTGTGTGTTCTACACATATTATTAAAAATAAGGTACAAGATGAAATTTGAACCGTTTAATTTTTTTAGCTAAATTTTGACCGTGAACTATTAGTAACGGTTGCTTCCTGCCACCTTTCTTGCCCCTCTTCCGATAAAATTATAGGAACTAGGAATAAAAACAAGATAAGATATTGAGTTGTCTTCTACTAATACTATACATGTTTTTGTGGAGCAGAATTGCTAAGTAGGCCATAGCGGCATGTTTCTGCCCCACTGCAGAAAATTGCGCAATCACACATTTGGACTGGCTTTCGGTGTGGACTGACTAGAGGTGCTATCGAGCCGAGTCGAGCTCGAGTAGCACCATACTCGAGCTCGAGCTCGATCAAAATTTGTGCTACTCGAGCTCGAGCTCGAGCTCGATCGAGTAAAAAAATTTGGATTCGAACTCGACTCGATGAAATAAAACTAAACTCGAGCTCGACTCGTTTGAACTCGATTAAGCTCGAGTAAATATCAAGCCCGAGCTACTCGAGCTCGAGCTCGAGTTTTGAAATAAATCTATAATTTTTTTAAAAATATATAATATATAATATAATATAAATATATAATATAAATAAAATATGAAAGCTCGATTAAGCTCGACGAGCACTCGAGTATTTATTTCTTGAGCTCGAACTCGACTCGTTAAATTTAACAAGTAGCTCGAGCTCGAGTTCGAACTCGATTTTACCGAGCTCGAGTCAAGCTTTTGATCAAGCTGCTCGCGAGCTACTCGCGAGCAGCTTGACTTGTTAGCGCTCGCGAGCAGCTTGACTTGTTAGCACCCCTAGGACTGACCATTAAGAAGTGATGTGATTGACGCGGTGTGAAAGCTTTCTGCTTTAATGTTTTCTGACCAAAATTGATAACTCTCTTTTTTGATCTCGATTTAGCAGACATATTTTTTGTTAAATGGAAATGTGATTTAGGGTGACTCTGAAGAACAAATTTTTTGCAAGTATAAAATGTGAAAAATTGAAGTGCATCATTTGTTATGCTAAAAATACAACATGAGAATTTACAATGGAACTATTACAATAGATTATTAGAAAGTTTTCCACTTAGGTAAAAATTGGAAAAATCACATATAGCCCCTATAGTTGGACCCTGAAATTGATGGAAGAAAGAACGACTTTGACTAATTAATGCCTGCATCAAAATGCTAATTAATGCATCGAAACGCTGTAGATGACAATGGAGGCTTGCTCAACATCCACACTTCTATCAACACCTATCCGACAATGACTTTGATATATTTTATTCCGACAATGACTTTGACATCTTTTATGATACGCAACGAGAAAACCCGGTTAGTAACCCATCATACGCATTCATTGATAATTGTTTAGGTTTCTTAATTAAGAAGCCAAGTATTATATAATGGTTGAAAATTGTTTAGTATTATATAATTGTTTAGGTTTCTTAATTATGATTTTTTAATGTGGAAATACACAATTAGACATTTAGTGTGTAAATAGTGGAAGACAGCATCTAGGTCTGGAGATTTTTTCTCTTATAAATTTTTTGGATTTACTCGACTTGATTTTCATGTTACCATCAATTAAGACTTACAAGAAAAAAAAAAAAGACTATTCTGCAAAACATTAATGGGTCTGATGTTGTTGGAAAGTTAAAACGTTCAAACAATACTCAAATTATTTAATACTCCATTCAATTCCAGGGCCCCAAAAATTATACAGAGGAAAAGAACGAGTGAACCACTTTTCTAAACCTGATCTTGATATTTTCAAGTGAACTAATTAGCTTATCATCAGATATCTTTTTATTCTTTTATTGAATACACTAGTCATCATAATATTGTTTGTGTTTTTCATTAAAATAAAGATCGTTTCTTATAACTATTTTTAGTTCGTCATGCATCACCATAATGATGTGGCTCTGAATTTACAATATAACTTATGTATTAGTAGACTCACTAACTGACTAATTTTCTTCTTTTTAAAGTCTTTATTTATAAATCTATGTTGGACTGTTTAAAAGAAATAATCAAAAGTCTAGACTAGACTCCCTTAAGGAGGAAAAAACGAAAAAAAAAAATCAAGTTTGGTACTTTGATATGGTTAGTGAAAGGCCACATCCAGGTTGGCAGATCAATTTATTTTCTTGAATTTGATTTGCTACATATTTTCCTGTATTTCATGTCACAGCATGTAACTCTGGTAATAAGGCCTAGTTCTGAAAGAGATATTCAATAAATTAATTTTGGCCTATTCAATAAATTATTAAGGCCTAATTAATAAGGTCCTATTCTCTTTGCCAAGTAAAGTGCCCCTTCTCCGTTTCCTACGTATATCCGGCTTCTTTTTTTAAATTCACTCAGTCAATGTGTAACAAGTATGCTCCATCTTCAGATTTTGGCAGTTGTGTTTTCTCTAATCCCAATTTTCTTCTTCGTTCTCGCGATCACACCTAGTACTTTTTTCGGTGAGCATTGTCGGAGATATGGTGATCCTACCTTCAACTCCAAAAACACCAGCAGTGACCGTCGCCCATCCACTTGCGGGGGCACCGACATCAATTTAAAGTGCCCGTTTCAATTTAGTGGTGATGATTTGTGCCCTGAACATGATGTTATTGAATTCTCTTGTGAAAACAATCGCAGTGTTCTATCCTTGAGTGTTGGTTCCTATCCGGAGATGCAACAGTATAACTTTTCTGTGGAGCTAAACAGTATTGATTATGAGCAACGGACACTTCGTATATTTGATCCTGGGGTGCAAAAGAACAACTGTTCTACTCTGCCAGTCAACCCATTAAGTCCAGACGACGACTACTATCAACCTGATGCGGGTTATGAGATGGAGATTGATCCTGATACTGGTTCGTTGGTCTTTGTGAGCTGTAAAAATCCTGTGAAATCGAAATATCATCCTCTTTACGTAGACACTGCTTGCTGTAATGTCACTGCAAATCATTTTTCAAAAATGAAAGCTCCACCCGGTTATTATAGCTATGTTGTGGTTGGTGAAAGCGTGGTGGCATCTGATATTGAAGAGTCGTGCACCATCTATAAGACAGCTGCTGTAGACCTGCGGTGTCTCCCTAATGTAACAGCAGGAGACATTTCGTTTCAAGACATCCACAATCTTCTGTCTAATGGCCATGAGCTCAAATGGCACGGAGGCCTGGAGATCAGGAGATCCCTTTTCTGTAAGTACACTGATTTGAAGATTTATTAACATCTTGATTGATGATTGATTATGATAGATCTTTTAAAAAGTATTCAATACTACTGCTTGAAACTATGTTTTTGGGGAATTAATGACAAATTACCGTATATTGGAAGATTTTAAGTTAAGATGTACTGCTATTCATCTTTCTTTCTTTCTTTTTTAATTATAGAACAACCAAATCAGTGGATTTCATGCATCATATAAGTCTTAATGTTCAAAATATAATTGATTAATGCATTTGAGTTGTGGATCTCAAATTCTCCTTTTAATGAAAGGAGAGTATATGTGAAATTGGGTTGAGTCAACTCTGGGTAGGGGTCCCTTTCATTTTCCAGATTCAAGTCGATTTCTTTTCTTAATTTTTATTTGATCCAAGCCAAAATTCAATACATCATTCATGTAATGAATTGCATTATCAAATATCACTACTTTGTGCTTGCTATCTAATAAATGCGCATACTTGATTATTTTACGTATTACATTAACTAAAGAGCATTAAGGCTATTCATTAAGATCTTCTCTGTGAGTCAAAAACGTGGGGCAGGTACATTTTTTGTTTGGTATATGATTGTGTCTAGTTATTGTATTTCTTGTAGTAATTTGAGTATACTTGGATAAACCGTTATAACGTTTGGTATCCACAATCAATAGCAATAAATAGAATGAAAAATTCATGTGCAAAATAATATAATGTAAATATATGCAAGAAATATAATATTGGTACACTATTGCCTCTACCCCAATTCCCTCAAGGTCATTTGTTTCATTTAGAAACTGATGAAGTGACTTTTTTTTTCTTTTTTCCTTTTGTTTTTGGTTTAGGTCTGGAGGTGTTTAGACTAGGTTCCTCTTCATTGTACTAGGGAGAATTTCTATCTATTACACATCAATAGAATGAGTTTAAAAATTATTCTAAAAAATCAACACTGTTCATAATGGATTTTATCACTTTTGTTAGTTATACATAAAATTTCATATGCAGTTGACTAAGCTTTGCCAACTAATTAATCATTACCAACTTCTTTTTTTATAATTTTGACCTATTTTCACCATTCAAATATTTTTGACATATTGAAAGCCAAAAAATTGTCAACAGAACATAATTTTTGAAGTATTTTGATTTAGAGATCAAAAAGAAAAGTAATGACATAATCAGATGATTTTATAGGGGAAGGGTTGTATTAGATGATAAGGTAGGAGAGGTTGTAGTATTTGCTTTCAAAATGATATACTTACAAATATTATGCATTAGATTTGATAATCTTGAATGAAGGTGCAAACATTTTTTACACCAATTAACCTTTAATATGAAAACCAATATTGGTGGTTTAATTGATTTTGTTGAAGTTTTGTGGAGGTCATACTATAAAAAAATTTTCAGTGAAACTTGTATTTCTTGGAAGTGAATTTGCTAAATCTTCGGAAATATTTTAGTGGGATCACTGCAGTATAGGTTTCGTTTTGTGATTAGTTGTTTTCTTCTTTGCAATCTTGCAAGTTTGGAATTGAGGCATCGTTGAAATGCTTATAGGTGGGACTCGTCCATGGTGGGAATATGATACGTAGTCTTACTTTTTTTTTTTTCTTCTCACTGTATTTGGTTTGTGTGGATGACAAATGAAAATTGGTTAGTGATTGTTAGTTTTATGAATCATTATGAGAGTAAAATACGTTATGCAATAGGATACGTAGAATTGTGGGAATTCATAATGGTGAGTTCTTTAAATTCGTAAGTGTCCGACGTGATTTGGCGTATGTAGATGTGATTTTGCACGGGTGATTATTATCCGTTAGTTAAAATTTTGGAGTTTTGGTTTTGTGGGTCAGTGGGTCACGTAAATTGGAAAGTGAGAAAGGATAAGGAGAAGGGATTACTAAATTAAGATAAATCTAAAATTATAATAAAAAGGGATTTAGATTTCTCATGCCTGTGGAGGCTCCTCGTCGAAAACTTGTTCTCTAATACATGTAGATATAGATATTTTTTATATATAATCTTACCTACCATCTCTTCTATTTATTTACTTTCTCTAATTAATTTTATATTTTTAAAAATATAACACCTAAAATATATTTTAACTTGTGCCCTATAAGCACCTCTTAGACAAACCGTATGAAATTTGACTTGAGTTAACTCTGGGTAAAGCCCCTTTCATTTTCCAGCTTCAAGTAGATTTCTTAATTTTATTTGATCCAGGCAAAAATTCAATACATCATTCATGTAACGAATTGCATGTCTACAATCAATAGCAACTAATAAAATATACTTAGACAAACTGTTATACTTCTTACAACATTTGATGTCCACAATCAACAGCAACTAATAAAATACAGAATTCATGTGTACAATAATACTGATGATGTGGCTTTTTTCTTTTTCTTTTTCTTTTTTTCTTTTTTTTTTGGGGAATCAGAATACCAGATACCTACGGCTGTTTTGTCTTTATTTGTTGCTGCAAATCTTTTTTAGCAAACGAAAAAAATATAGGAACATGGTCAAATTAGAAAAGTTGGATTTTTAAAAAGCTTATTTGTGTTATGATCCCAACAAACATATGAATTATTGAATTCTTACTTTAAACCATGCAAAACAAACATACTTTGAATTTATTGTCGTAGTAATTTGAAACTTGTACACATATGAGTGTGAAATATATAGCTGTAATTAATAAAAGTTGATTTTCAAGCATCCAATTGGATATTGACGTTGCCTTTTGTACGTAGGCGATGGAGCTCTCATATTGGTAATGTCCCAAATGGACGTGAGTAATTTTATTTCTTTGATTTATAGAAAAACCATTTTTTAATCAATCCGATTCTTTCTATTTCAATATTTCCATTACAATCCTTTAACTTTTCTTTTATAAGCAGATCACTTTAATATTGGTGGGTTAATTTCGGGTAAGGCATCTGATTTATAGTTGAAAAGACGTACAGTAGAAGTCAATCTTAGCTAAGTCTTATTGTTCTCTTCTTCTATTTTAGTTCTGCTTATTGCAGCAAAACATGTCATTGGCATTATCCTCTTGTTTGCTTTCCTCCTTTATCGGTGTCATCGCAGGCATTTATCGAGGTATGATACAATAGAAGATTTCCTACAAAGAAACAACAGCCTCATGCCCATTAGGTACTCATACAAAGAAATAAAGACGATGACAAAAAATTTTGAGGAGAAACTAGGTGAAGGAGGCTATGGTTTGGTTTACAAAGGCAAATTGCACAGTGGAGGGGCAGTTGCTGTCAAGATGCTGAACAAATCAAAAGCTAATGGCCAAGAATTCATCAATGAAGTTGCGACTATTGGAAGAATACACCATGTGAACGTGGTTCAGTTAGTGGGATTTTGTGTTACTGCCTCAAAACATGCTCTAGTGTATGATTACATGCCAAATGGCTCTCTGGACAAGTTAATTTTCTCAAATTGTTAGAATGGTTCTCCATTGAGTTGGAAACTAGTTTGTGAGATTGCAAAGGGGATTGCTCGTGGCATTGAAAACTTGCATCAGGGGTGTGATATGCAAATTCTGCATTTTGATATTAAGCCGCATAACGTTTTACTCGATCACAACTTTATTCCAAAAGTTTTGGACTTTGGACTTGCAAAACTTTACCCGATGCAAAAGAGTATTGCAACTCTTACTGCTGTGAGAGGAACCTTAGGTTACATGGCCCCGGAGTTGTTCTATAAAAAGATTGGAAGAGTCTCACATAAGACAGACGTTTACAGCTATGGAATGTTACTAATGGAGATGGCAGGAAGGAGGAGAAATGTGAATGCACATGCTGAGCATTCTAGTCAAATATACTTCCCTTCATGGATATATGACAAATTCGATCAGGTGGAGGAAATGGAAATCGGCGATCATGCAACTGAAGAAGAAAAGACAATTACAAGAAAATTGATTTTGATTGCCTTGTGGTGTATACAGATGACACCTGAGGATCGTCCTTCAATGAGAGAAGTCTTAGAAATGCTTGAAGGTGATGCTATTGGCCTAAAGTTACCTCCTAAACCGTTGTTTTACCCTCCGGATTCACCCATATCCATGCAAAGAAGCAGTAATAGTTGTTCTTCTGACGAGTCAACAGCGCCCCTGTGTAGCTTTGTTGCTCTAGAAATAGAGCAGATGGATGACTAAGTAGAACTCATGCTTTCAGTGAAATCTTTGTCTAGTGGATTTGGATTTGTCTTTCAAACTCTTAAATATGCCACCTAGTACCAGATAACATGGCAAACTGAAATATCAGTTTGGTATCAATAAACTGAAGGGTAGCACCTTGATATAAGCTTCATATATAATAGTAATACCAGCATCAATCTTTGAGTTTAACTTAATAATTTCTACAATTGAGCTCCAATACATATTTTTTTTCTTAAACTATTATGTTACCTAAAACAGCGAGGAGTATATCTAAATATTTCCTCCAAATTCGTAAGATCATTCTTTTCTAGTAGTGTTGCTGTTACTAGTCAAATTGTTAGTTTAACGTAGCATATAGCCCTTTTTCTTTATCCTTGGATTTTTCCTTCGAAACATGTCAGTTCCTTTTCATCAACGTGTAGAATATGACATTTCCTGGATATTGCCTGCTTGAGTAATTGAAGGCGAATACTCCACGGTCTAGCTGATATACTTTTCAAATACTTGCGAAGAAAGAGAACTAGTGTTCCTTCTTTATGGTTCAGTTATTTAAGTTGAGGTTTTGTCTTGTGTTGAAGAATTCGAGTTCTTAAAAAGCATTACGACATTAAGGGTGCGCTTGATAAAACTGAAGTCTGAAAATTGAAATTTGAATTCATTAAATTATTGAATTGTTAAGTATTAAATCTAGTACATTTGAGTATTATCATATTCAGTGATAAGTGAATAGCTTATCACTTAATTTTAGGAGCAAATTTTGCCTAGAAAATTCAGTGTCATTTAATTAATTCAAATGTTCATTTTTTTGTTATTAAACGCGTTTGAACATGTTAAGATCTGAATCCATTAAATTTCAGTGCTGAATGAGATTATCAAACAGGGCCTAAGTAACAACCATTGGCACCTTCTCTTGAATTATGGATAGGTTAACTGTTATTGATTGCTGCTATTATTGTCTCAGTGTTCATATGATTTGATTACAAAAAGTCAGTCATTGTGCCTAAGCTTTGGAGAAGAAACTGGAATTGCTGGGGATGGGAAGCTACTTGTGTTGTAATGATAAACTGTTCTAAAAGGATCTAAATGACAGGTGCCGAACCTGTACAATAATAAATACCTACTCGAGAAAAATACAGATTTTGTATATAGCGGTGAGTAGAGTGGAATCCACAGGGACTGGGGATAATTCGTTTCTTCTAGAGTCCAAAGTATGGGGGGTTTTTGGATTAAATACTAACTAAATAAATTAACTGCAGGAAATAATTGATTAAGAGAAATAATTAAGGGAAAACTCTAGCCAAGGGTACACTTCAGAAATGGTTCAGGCACTGATCATTGATTCACAGATAATTCCGCATTTATTAATAGATTAGTTATAGTTGTCATGCACGCGATAAACAACCAACCTTTCCTTAATTTCTCGATAGTTAAGGTACGACCGTTAACTATTTCTCTAACCCAAAAACAACCCTAGGTACGACCGTAGGATTTAATTTCTAGATTGCATTAATAATTAGAAAGGCTCAATCCTAACTAACAAACACGCTACGAGGGTTTGTTTAAACTAGATCGTATGCTCCCCTGACATAAATCCAATTACGCCAGTTGCTACTAAGATAGAGATAACGAACAATTACGGATTCAATTACCTCTATTTAGCAAAATAGTCTATATGAATAATTGATTATTGCACACTAATCAATCATACACAAGAGCTATAACAGTTAAAAGCAGGAAACATATGAATACCAATAAATGGAGGAAATAATTAAAATAAATTCGATCTCACAGTAATTGTTGAACCAAGTCTTCAGTTGTCCCCTTGACTAGAATTAAGAGGTTAGTCCTCCATTAATGGAGAACAACCATGCGAAAGAGCTAAGAAAAGAAAACTAAAACTATGCTAAAAGCCTAAACTAAAACTATTGATTCATTGATCTCCCGTACGTTTCTCCCTTTTTAAAGCCAAAAGGAAGTCTAATGCTATCTCTAGTGGTCCCCACACCAAATTCAAAGTCTTGTACGTTTCTTTTCCTAGAGTCCAAATGACTCATGCTTCTTATCCGTGGTCCCCGCACATGTGGACAAAGCCTCCAAAGTACTTGTTGTTCCAAGTCTCTCTACGTTACTTTCTTTGAAAAGCCCAAATGACTAAATGCCTTGCACTAGCTTGTGGTCCCCACCAATTCAAGGACCTAAAGGTTGAAGCCCTTAGAAGTCTGCATTTTTCCATACAAGTCCCTCCTTTTTGGTAATTTTCTGCTTCACTCCTGAAATTGATTCCAAATACCAAATATGAGTAAATATCAGCAATTAACACAATATTTGTCAGGGATAGAAGGGGAAATCAATAATAAATTTACTAACAAATTATACTCTATCACTAAACTTCAGTTGTTCTGATAAGCTTTGTTGATATGTGTTGCACGAATACAACATTTCTAAAAGTTTTGATCTTAGAGAAAGAGATGACATATTAGGCTTGCAAATGAAAGGGTGTAGGAGTACTCCTAAAACAAATGTCTCAGGAACAGAGGACATTAAGCACTTGTTGCCCTCACTAAGTACCTTTTGATTGTGATATTTTGCTACCTTGCAGCTAGGCAAGCACTTCTTGGCTTGAAGGCACCATTGTCCTGCTAGGTAGGTCAGACAGACAAAAATATAGAACTAATTAGTTTTAATAACAGTTAACAAGAAATCACGAGCTCAAAGTGCGAAACAGATGTGGCATCTAGATTCCATAAATACTTATATACATTCTTATCATATTAGTTCATGAGTCCAAGGAATTGTAAGTATCTCCATTCATGCAAAATTTCATATTAATATAGGCATTCAAAACTATTTTATTCATTAGATAGTACTAAAACTATTTATCTTACTGAAAATGAATCAGTACCCAATTTAACTTGTACCTATGAAAGCGAGAGCCTAATTTAATTTCTAATTCTTAATAATGGAGCAAATTATCAATATTTCAATTACAATTCAGTCCCCACTAATAGGGAAATGAAGAAATGGGAGTTAGGAACGAACCAGCCTGACACTGGATTGAGCCTATCACCGAGCTCCAGACTCTAGGACTTGCATATTCAAAGCCGCCATCTCAAACTACTGATAAGAATTCATCCAAACTTCAAGATTTTCACTTGTTTTCCCTTTTCACTTTTGATTAAGATGCCAAGTATAAAATAAGCTTAGACAAAAATCATAGTATTTCATCAACTGACCATTTCCTCGCAAAATTTCTAAAATCACCACATAGTTCCACTAAATTAGCCAACAAAATAACAAATAGGCAAAAGACCTATTAAAGAAGTCAAAAGTGAAACCTCAACTACTTGGGAGGAAGGATGGACTGAGTAGTATTGAAGAGGAAGTGTAAATAAGAGATCTCGAATTCAAAACCTCCCAATTACACTAAAAAAAAAAAACCCCAAGCACCTCATTTGTTCTAACTCTTTGATTTGCGAAGCTTTCACCTTGATCAAGAGAAGGACTAAAGAGAGATGTTAGAGAGAAATAGTAGGAAGGGTTAGAGAGAGTAAAGTGAGGTCCAACCCATATTCTTTCAATATAAAAATTTGCCAAATTATTAATTAGTCCCCCAACTTCTAAACTTAATCACATATACCCCCAAGGTTCTATAACCTTCACTACTTAACCCATGAAATAAAGTTACATGGTCTTAAATATTACACTTATGCTGCAAATATTTGGAGAGAAATGTGCAGAATTTGAATTTGGCATACAGAAGAGCATATGCTTTGAATATTAAATTATCTTGGCTAGGAAAAATTTTATTGATTAAATAGTCAGGTCGTCTCTTGCATCTTGTGTCTATCATATATGGGAGAGAGAAACAAGGGACTTTTCACTAAGGAAGAAAAAGCTACTCCTATCATGTTGCAGCCCATCAGCACTGAGGTTAGAGCACTGGTAGCTTCTTGGAAGAAGATTAAACTAACAAAGTATAGCATGGAATTTTGATCTTATATTCTTATCGTGAGTGTTCTGCTTGTTTAGTTGGTGACCTTGGGTGTTGTTTGTAATTAGTGTACTTTGGACGGTGTTGCTGGTTTGGCTTTTTGCTGCTTCTCATAATAACCTCTGTTTTTGCTATATCAATAAAACGAATACCTTACCTAACAAAACAAATGGAGGTAATAAGGGGATAATTTTCTTTTTTTTTTTTAAATACAAAAATAACAACAAAAGGAGTTGACCCAAAGAAATAACAAAGTATAACAACTTGATTTTGTCAATAATAATAATAATAATAATATCAACGACTTCAGTGCTAAATTCTAGATTAGAGTGCCTTACATGTAAGAAAAGTCCAAAGTTGGACCTGCGATCTGAATTGTTTCAATTGACAATGGTGTGTATTTCAACAAAAAGAATAGATAAGAAAAATGACACAAGTAGTCAAGTTTAGATTGGGTTCCCTCAAAAAAGAAAAAAAAAGAAGAGTATGTTGACTTAGTTCTTTACTCCGAAAGGAGTTCAACATTAGTTTTTAACATTGACAGCATGTTGCAAGTTCATATTTTGGTAGCTTTGACTTGGTAACCTACCTTAGATTTCATCCTTTCTTTAATTTTTTTTTTTTGGGTTCTGGATGCAGTAATAATTCTTCTATTGTGACTCTGTTGCTTTAGAAAATGGTGCTACTTAACTTCCTCATTCTTATTTTTTAGATTTTTTAAAAACTTTCCCATTCTTATAGCTATGGAAGTTATTTCTCTTTTTTTTTCAAATATTATTTTGTTTGCTCATAAACACGTTTTCCAACTAGTTTTTTTTTAAATATTTTCATCCAAGTTTTTATCTTACATATATCAACATCATAAAAAATATTATAGTAATTTTTTAAAATAATATTTTAAATAATACACTATCCAAACACACTTTATGCATCTTCTACTTTGTTTTAATTTTTAATTTTTTGTATTTTATTCTTATTTTTGTCAATAAGATGAAATTTAAAATGTACAAACCAAGTAACAACACGTAATTCTAATACCACTGGCATGTATTTCCAAAATGAACATTGAAGTTTTGCATCTTTGTTGCAAAATTATACAAATAACCTATAATGATAATTATTTGGTAAGATGGTTTTACACTATTTAGAAACGGTTAT